TCAAGCAAATTAAATTAAATGTAAGTACTTAATAAGTAGATTGCGATTTGGAAAAAAAATCAATGCGTGTTATTAACTACCAATAAAGACAGTTACATTTTAATAGAGAAATGTCTGTATAAAACCAATTAGTGCTTTATTATCACTCAGCGATAAATAAATTTCTTTACGCCAGTTCCATTAACTTTATGGCCAATTAATAATTTAGTCGCTATCGGTTTGGAATTGAATGAAACAATAAAAGCAAATCGTTTGCAGATTTTCTTTATTATTCGTTTCTGCCGGTTTTATAGATAAAAAGTATTTGAATTGGTAGCCCAATCCAAAAAAAGTGTTAAGCTATTATCTGATTTTCTATCATATAGAAACAATATGAAAGCCTCCACAAAATGCCAGACATAAAGCCCAAAAAACCCCAGTTAAATATATTGATATTGACTTTTTTTCCATTTTTATTTGGATTCCTTTTCTGCGTTTCCTTATAAAGGCAGAAAATAAAAATTTATAGGCGACGGCTGTGCATTTCGATAAAATATCAGCTGCGGCTTGTATTTTACGTTATTTCAAATTCCATCTTTTTTGTCTTCACTATTATTTCTATTTTCAAACGAATGAATATCTCAATATACCCTACTTCAACAAAAGTTTACCTACCTGAAGTTAGAACTTGCAAAATTAAACGAAGACCTATCTGGACTTTATCTACGACTTGAACAATTTTCTCGTAACTTTCGATAACTCCGGCAAGTTTTAACTTCAGTTGACCCTACACGAAAACTTTATTATTCTCTGGAAAATTGTGACTAGTCTGTCATATAATGGGTTTGAAATACTTAAAAGTTTGCGAATAGAGGTACCTAGTTGATTTACTTTACCTTAAAACTACTTTTAATTAATGGTCAAGTTCTTTTTGGAAATGTGATTTTTTTTCAGTCAAATATTTACATGCAAAACTAGGGTGATGATAACTAAAACTAAAAATGTGTACCTTTTTTGATTCTTGAATCTTGGTGTGTAGCAGCCAGGGAATTGAGGTCTGCAACAAAAAGCCAAGTGTCAGACGAAATTTTGAAAAATAGAATGTGTATTATTAGGTAAACGGTTAGTATTCTAAGAATTACGTGAAAAAAAATGTATTTATAGGAAAATATTAGTAAAGGTATCAACCAACGCGGCCGCTGCTACACAACCCAAAAGAAATAATGTGTATTGTAAGTCAATTGTCAATTTAATAGTAATATATTAAGAAATGGGTGTAAGTACCAAATTAATTGCGAGACTTAAATATTGCTTTTTGTAGTTCCATCAAATTTCCAAATCAATCACTTACAGAACATCAACTAGCAGATCTCGTTAAAACGCAAAAATATTAATAGGGAACCATGCAATTGACTAAAATGCCGACCGGAACATTAATTCCGAAATGCAATCCAGCTGATGTCTGCCTGCAAATGATTAATTTCCCGTCAATATAATACATTGCAAATGCTCTTAGCCGAGGATTTATTGTATCTTTGTATAATTAAGGAAAAAATATGCTAGTTTTTGATATTGCAGGCGAAGGATATTATCATAATAAGCGCATCCATTATATGCAAATCACTTTCGACTGTGTTTCTTTAATACTAACTCACTATAAACTTGAAATACAATATGTATAAAACAACTTTGGAGATTTCCTCGCAAAAATGGGAAAAAAATCTGCCACAGACATACCAGCAGATGTTGAGAGTCAGAAGAGACAGGGTTCCAGAATCCAGGAAAAAATTAGAAGTTCTCCTACTCTTCAAGAAAAGTATTATTAATAATAATAATAATAATAATAATAATAATGTCTGGCCGAAAGCGGTACTGCAGCCAGCAGTATTACCTTCGCTACGGGTAACGGCCTGAGTCCCGTACAGCCAGCTGCGCCTGTATGGGGGGGCCTTAGGGCCAGCACCTCACAAGGATGCGACATTTTATTAGGGTAGCATACTGTTGACGATTTGATAAATATGCTCGAACTAAACCAAAAGCAGTAAATTCAAAACCAATATATTTCAATATTCAGAGAAGTAAATCGTGGTTTAATAAATCAAATGCCTTAGTAAAATCCAATAATACAAGAACTGATGCTTGATTACTGTCAAGAGCGGCCAATATATCATCTGTCACTTTAGAAAGAGCTGTGCAGCAGTCATAATCTGGATTGGTTTGGTATCCATGTAACTTCGAAATTGGTCTTCCATTACCTTTTCAAGGACTTTTGACATTACTGGAAGTACCGATATAGATCAAATTTGCAAATAGAATGAGGCATTTTGAAGCGCTTTTTTCCAGAGTAGTGGGAAATATGAATTTTCTATACAAAGATTAATTATGTGTAAAATAGGCTTAATTATGACAGGAAGAGCTGAAAGTATTATTGTTATATTTAAATTTTCCAAATCGAATTCTTACTCTTTATGTGAGTGATTAAATCTTTGATATAAGTTTCTATATCGAACTGAAATTGAGATCTGCAGCTTCCTAGACTGTTTTGGTTATAAAAATTAGAAATATTCTGACTTATTAGAGTTAGTGACTCTACAAATAAGAAGAATACCACAAGCCGCTAATACAGATCATAATTAAGTACTAAAAGAAATTATAGTCTCTTTTATATGTTTTTCCAGCTCATCAGTGTAGGTGGGGTAGCCAAAAAAATTCCATAAATCTACCACGTTTTCTGAAGATTATAATAACCTGCCTGAGCCAGATATTTGAATGAAAGTAAAACGTGAATGTTTATATAAAATTATTGATCCATCCTATTCATCTATACTTCTATGTATCAATAAGTATTAGAAAGAACATACATTATAAAAATGGAAGAATTAACAAAGAAACAATTATTTCTCATGTTTATAATAAATGAGCATTCATATCCTTTTAAATTAAGTATCCAAAACTAGAGCTTTGATCGAGATCTTCAGCTTCAAATTAGTGAAAGAGTGAGCCAAAACTATCAATTTTGCTTTCATCCATAAATACGTATAAAGGTTATTCGACAAACAAGTAGAAATTGTTAGAATAATTCGTCAAAATTAGACATAGACTAAACACCATGAAAGTGATCTGAATAAAAATGAAACTTATACTACGTACCGCAAAACTGCTGCCAGAGATTTCACATAAGAAATTCGTAAAATGTAAAATTCGTAAAAGCGTGGAAGATATTATTTTGAATGTCAACTATTGTATGTTATTCCTTATCCTAGTCTTAGATATAAATTGTTCATCTACTCGATAAATTGCTATTTACCGGAAACGGTTTCACAAGTCATAAATCCATTCGGTGCAGCGCTAAAAATCCGAGCCAAAATATCAGAGAGAGCATTGCCGACATCCATTTTCTGGGGGTGGCCTTTCCCGTCAGCACTAGGCAATCTCATTTACAAACTTGCAAACTGCTTTTTCCGTTCTACTAGTTTCTCTCGGAGCCGATAACACCCACGACTTTCCACCAAACTTTGACAAATCAGACAAGTCCCTATCTATATCTGACCCCTATTTGTTAAAGTGCGACTGAATAACGTTTTTAGGACGGGCGGGGAGGTGGCGGCAGTAACTTCTCTTTTGCTTAGGCTCCATTTATTTTCGTATGATAAGAATCGCTCAGAGTTTAAATAAATGTTTGGTTTGACCCAAATTGTGAGCGAACAAATATAAATATTCACTTCAAAAATTCCGCAGAAATTACATGAAAATTTATGCTTTGACAATAATCTATAAAAATAAAAGTATTTATACCATGAAAGGATCAAAATGCTATATTTTCCTGTATATATTTGTAAAGATTGAAATTCTGTACAAAGTTCTGCTGTTTCTAGAATTTCCGGAACATATTATCTCGGGTACATTTAAGGCCTCATAGATTATTGATCGAAATTTAACTACTATCAAAAGCAAGCTTTAAAGAGACTATAACCATACATAGGAACTTTTACTGCTGCTGCCATAATAATATCGCACATAATAGGATCTTGCGATATTCACAATGAGCTTTCAGTGGAGAACATTCAAGATGTTTACATCCTTATGCTTAGGTCTAATAAAAGTGAGGTTGAATCCTGTTGTTCATTCGGAGTAGAGGCTACTATTGTGACTCGTCTGTTAAATACGAATTAGTCACACACGTAACACATCTATACTACTAATGAAACAATCTAAAATTGAACGCGCATTGTTTTTTCCCACTCTTTGTGACTAGCAGCCCTCGAACAGATGGGTGTGAAAGGTTGAATAGACTGCCATGAAAAAACTAGTAGTGTAACATTGCCGGTTCTGCATCATAGACTTTAGAAAGTTTTACATCCTTTCGGGTGAAAATTATGTAGGTTGAGTGTCAGCCTACTTGTTTTCGCTGTTTTTTTGCCACGATTGCTCCGATTTCCCTCATTAAAACCTATAATTACGACTGAAATTTGATGAATACTGATAGAACCATATGATCAGCATGCAACCAGTAATAACTTGTGCATACTGGTGTATTTGCTTGTGGATGTATCACAATAGATACTGCTAATTAACCATCGGTCAATTAAAAATTAATGCGACCCTCTTTTAATTTTGGTTTCAACTACCATTATAAAAATTTCGTAAAAGCTTTGTCAAAATGACAATACGGGCATCGGACTAAAAATTTCGAATTCCATTTAATAAATTATCAGAGATAGTGCCACACGAGCGTATAAATCGGCAAAGCATTAATCATCTGTGCACTGACAGCCCGAATTTCAGGATATAAACATTGGACAGTCAATTTACAGGATTGTTTAATAATCCTTTGCTATTTTTGCAGTATCTGTCTGAGTTTTAACATAGGGGATTTGTGAACTATTAATTAAAATATTTTTGCAATTTATAATAGAATTGCAAATTTCCTCCCAATAATACCATACGCGTTTTAGTAAATGATCCCTTGTACCTAAATCAAAACTAGACCGCGGCTTAAGTTCTACAGCCGTAGTACTTACCGTCAACATTTAACATAATAGGCAAACTAATCTTGGGCTCCGTGTTCACTTGACATTCGAAAACTCCAGCGTCCCTTTTCTGGACGTACTCTATTCTCAAATCCCAGTCGTCGCTGTGTTCGGGATGTCGCACACTAAATCGTCCATCTCCGGTGTACGTGTGTATGCTCGACGTGAGAATATGGAGGTCGCGTTTTCGTATCCAGGAAACCTGGAAAGAACATACATTATAAAAATGGGAACAATTATTTCTTATGTATAATAAACGAGCAGTCATATCCTCATAAATTGAGGTTCAAAAACTAGAGCTTTGATTGAGAACTTCTAATTCAAATTAGTGAATGAGTGAGCCGCAACTATCAATTTTGCTTTCACTAAACATTAATTAAATCAATTCCGAACATAAAAATAATTAAAAGTTCGTTTGCGCGCTAATAAAGGTTTGATTAATAACTTTGTATGACACTATATAAATTGATAAATAGAACGGTATCTATTTTTTACGAACTTCCATTAGCTTGATTAATAAAATATTAAAATTTCAATTTGGAATTTTATAAATTTCATAGCTGTGCAGCGGTGCTGGAGTCAGCTAAATAATAATTTTTGCATTGATTAAGTATTTGATTCATTTCTGGATTAATTGTAAAAACTTGTGGCGGAAATATCACAGTCAGATTTTATCGCATATTGAAATATATTTCTCACAATTTAAATAAATTTTTTGATTCAATAATCCTGGATCATGACAACGTTTGAGCAATATTATTTTTTGTAGTGATACTTGAGCTGAGTCACATTACCCAAAATTCAAAATTCCTCATACCACAATAAGGACTTGCATTCAAAATGAGTTTGTTTGTGAAGGTAGGATTCGGAAATACTCCATTGTTCACCCGAGATATTGTTCTCGCATTTTGAAACCGAGATATTAGATTTTCAGAGAAGCGAACAAAGCATTACTTTTGTGGTTTCATTAGTCGCTATATCGGGAAACGGAATTGTTTCCTCTTAAAACTTTAATGATAACTACGTAGCATGGAAGCGATATTACATCGCAAGGAATATAATAACGGGTGCAAGCTTGAATACATTTTTTAATGATTTTCAGCTTATTTGGGAGGAGGATTTGTCACAGAATTAAAGTGAATTCGAATTGAGTGTACTGGGTCAGTGAATCACCTTAAGAGTATTCCAATTTCTCCATAATAAAAGAAAATATAGTTTGGTAACGATTTCCTAATTCACTTAAAAAAAAATTCTTATCGTTATATTGAAATCTGGAATGCGAAAAAACAAAGCGGCCTTTTAACGTCGTGACTGCTCCCTGGCCCGGCCAGTATGACATTTTAAATCATCCTTCAATGTCGTTGGAATTTTTATCAACACTTTTGAACTGAAGGTACGCGTCACTGAAAGTTTCCGAGCCCTGATGAAGAGTTTCGTAATTTAATAAAAAAATCTCGGCTGAGAGTATTGATTCTTTAATCTTTTATAATTATCCACTTACGTCTATCGGCTCAGTGTTTTAAATCAGAAAATGAAATATACTACAGAAATATTTGTTCCGATCTATTCGACTAGAAAACAAGAATGTAAACTCTTATATTATTCTTGGAGAAGCACCTTGTTCAGCAACTATTGTCCCTAATCGTTGAGTCTGACTGGATTTTCCTGGGCCCGTACAGAGACCTACTCCAGACTCTAGAGTAATTGGAGCCTATTTTATCTTATCCAATGAGTTTTTATTTTCAGTATTTCCTATAATTTCCCAATTTTATTTCCATTATTCTTTTATATGGTATGAAGTTTTTTCATAGAAGTTGAGGAAAACCATTTATTTGAAATATTATTTATTCAAATCTTAACTTTTTAAAACGTTTACTAAAGAAAAGTAAATGTTGCAACCATGTATGCGCTGTGAAATTTATGGGAACAGGGACGCCCACACGAAAAGTACCAAAGGGTAGAGAGAAAATGAGAGACCAGAGAAGAAGTTTGTCTGCCATTGTTCATTATTCAATTTCTATTTTATATTAAACTGATTGTTCAATCCAATTTGTGATTCGTTTGTGTGTCAAAAGAAGCATTCACAGGTCAGTTGATTAAATGTTATCTTCTTTTTGAGAGTTCAATTTATACAGGTAGGTAATATTTTTTCATTTTTATGTTTTTTTTTTCTGTTTGTTTATAACATTTTTTATAACATGTGCATTGTTCATGTATTTACCAAAAATCGTTTCATGCTGGGTCAAAATAACAACTATAGCTGAGTAGCCTCCTGTACGGGACCTTAGTACCTGCTGGCAGACTGGCTAACTAACCAAAAACTCTTCAGCATTGAATATAGGTGGTGATGTTTTACAAATTTTTCGTTCATTTTACATATCACAACTTCAAATTTCCATAACTTTGTTATTGTCGTGCGCATGTCAAGTAATTTAAATTAAGTAAGTTTCGACAACGTAGGTCCTATTTGTTTTTCATTTAATTTTTTTATGGTTGAAAATATGGTGTTTCTGACACTATGGAGAATGAGCTATGACTTGAAATAATTACTTAAGTGACGTGACTTATATTTTTTATTTATTTTTTTTTATATAAGAGAAACAACTCCATAGACCATGGGTACTCTATATTAGAAATTAATTGGCGCTTCTTTGATTACTCAGTTTATCCTGGCAGGCAAGGTTGAGATGAATGTAATAATCTCCATTGTTCTACTTCTGCGAGCATCCATGCGTCGTCATCGTACATCGTGGAATATTTGTGCGTGATGGTTCGACGTTGTGCGAAAGAGCCGATAGAGTCCAAAATCGAGGAGGGGGCGTTGCCTGCTTTATACACAAATCAGTGAGAAATAGGCGCATCAACACACTGAGGACAAATATAGAACACATAACCATCGAAATAGATAAAAACCTTTGGATTCCCGGGGAGTATGGCCCCTCAAACTCTTGAGATCAGCCATTGACGTATGGATTTTCTTCCCCAGAAACAGGAGAGCGTTACTGGTGGGAAACCTAAACGCCAAACATAGGAGTTGGCTGAACAATAACAACAATACAACAGGCAACACCCTCTTCAACTATCATTAATAATAGAAATGTGCAACTTCACCACCTCAACAACCCTACCCACTATCCCAGCTCAGGCCAAACCCCATCCATAATTAATGTTGCACTTTCGAAAGGGCTCACTAATATCGAAGTCAAAACAATGGACTTACTCGGCTCAGACCACCTACCGATCTTCCTGTACTCTAAAAACTGTCCAGTGCCCGAAGAATCGAAGGTATACTCGTACAGGAATTTCGATTGGCCAAAGTACAAACAAAGACTTAACGACATAACAGTCATCTCCAATCCAATTTTTAGCATTCAAGAACTAGAGAGCCAAGTAGACATCCTATCGAAAAATATCCAATCCGTGAGGGATCAGCTGGCCCCAAAAATCACCCTGAAAAACAAAACAGACACCCTCCCTGCATCAATTGTAGCACTGATCAATGCACGAAACAGGGTCAAAAGAGCATGTCAGCGGCGCCCCAACCCCCTAGATCGGCAGATCATCAGGCTAATGAGCCGTGAAATAGAGAGGGACATACAAAATCATAGGAATAATTCCTGGATGGAGTATGTCTCCTCCCTAGAAACCAAAGACAATTCCTTGTGGAAGCTGGCGAAGAACATTAGGCGATCAGGATCGCAGCAAGTGAGCTTGATCGTCGGAGGCGCCACCTACTACAGAGACTTCGAGGAGGCTTCCGATTTGGGGGCGGAATACAACAATATCTCAAGTGTAACGGACGCCTCTGCCATGCAAAAATATCCAATACCACCCAAATTGCTACAACGGATACTTACAACCACGGCCGAACTGACAAATCTAATCAAAAAACTGCCTAACAGAAAGGACCCAGGACCAAATACAATCACAAACACACTGATCAACAACCTACCGAGGAAAACAATAATACACTTCCTCCAAATATGTAATGGAATCATGATGTTTCAACACTCCCCAACAGCCTGGAAGCATGCAAACATTATTGTTTTCCACAAACCCGACAAGGATATTACACAATCACAATCGTACAGACCTATCTCCCTACTAAACTCACTGGGCAAAGTTGCAGAACGGGTAATACTTAGCAGGCTAGCAGGCGAAATCCACACCCCCAGATGCCTACCCCCGGAGCAGTTCGGTTTCAGATCAAACCACAGCAGCAAGGAAAGTGGCTCAGGGCGCAATTGCGTCATTCAACAACCACGAGAGCACTTTCCTACTGCTCCTCGATATAGAGAAGGGGTTTGACAAGGTGTGGCACAAGGGCCTTATCTTCAAACTGCTGGCAACACACAACCTACCCCTCCACTATGTATCACTTTTAAATTCCTACCTAATCAATAGATCTTTTGCCATTAAAATTAACAACTGCCTATCCCAAACCAAACCCATAAAAGCTGGAGTCCCTCAAGGCACGGTCCTCCCCCCAACCCTTTTTAACCATTACATAGCGGACATCTCCAGAGTCCATAGCACCAAGTAGTAACGGGGGCACCTGAGGCTGAGAAATTTTTCGATACCGTGGGAAAATCTCTAGATCGGCGGCGCATTTGATCTGAAATTTCGTAGATTTGACCCGGGCCAACCCCAAATTTTTCGACGTCATGATGTTATCGGTGGCGCCATCTAGCGTACATAGTGTGAAGTTCGTTCTGTCCTTTCACAGCATGCCGTAGTGGTAAATAAGAAAAATTCGTGAATCAGCACGCCGCCAACGTTTAATGTGGGAACAAATAGGAGTATCATGTTTCATGGTTAATTTTACTTATAACTGATGAGCGTTTTCGTTCTAGCAAAAACAACAAGCTCAGACTTGCATTTATATTTTATCGATGATAGTTTTCCATTTAGTTTTTTTCTGCGATCTCCGTTAGTATATTGATGTATGCCGACGACACAGCAGTGTATACTAGCGCCTTTTTCGGCCTCCTGGAACTGCTCACATCCTACCTGAGGAAAGTCACCCTAAATGCAGCAAAAACAGAACTCCTCACGCTCACCAGGAAAAGGACAAGCATCATTATGGATCCCCTTTGTCAAGCGGCGGAACGGCAATCACCCCATAAGCATCGGCCAAATACCTGGGAATAATCCTGGACAAAATTCTCCGGGACTACCCTCAGGTAAATCACTCCCTCCAAA